TTTTTTTTTGCGGAACTGGGGATTGAACTCAGACCTTTGCACTTGCCAGGGAAGCACTTATTCCACTGAGCCATCTCCCTGGCCCTCAAAGACTTTCTAAAATGAGCTAAGTCCTACAGATGGCTTGTTGAGCTTATTTTAGTTTTTCTTTCGTTGACCTCTTTTGCCTGAAAATGGGACTTATCTTTGTTTAACTGCAGGCTTCAACTCTAACTTTGAAGTCCTTGATTCCAAAAGGCTCTGTATGGAAACAAATTCTTCTGGGGTTTGCTCCTAGCTTACACCTCCTATTTCAACACAATACACGCAAGCACCAAAAGTCGTAAGCCTACAAGAAATTGGGCAGCCCACAATTAGTAGTGAGTAATTTTTCTACTTAGACAATCGATAGTGTGTGTTTACCAGGCGCCCATGCGCATCTCAGGTCCGGTTTCCTCAACTGTAAGTTGACAGAGAAGCTATGACCTCGAAGTGTGTACTTGAAAAAGTATTTCTTTCAGCTCTAAGTACCTCTAGGCCTGGCTACGCAGCAGGCTGATGCATGGGGATCTCTGGAGCCCAAGAGTCGGGAGGCCTAGATGGGTAACATAGTCTCAAAATATGAAAGGAAACAACATAAAATGAAATGAGGACTTTCTTCACTAAGTATTGCTGATCAGTTTGAGGAGCTAAAAAAAAAAAAAAATAGCATCTTAATTATTGTGTAGTCTGGGTAAGATGGTTGGAATCCTGCCAGCTTTTGTTTCTTTAGAAGGAAAATGAAGTTTGTTTCTGATAGGTTTTTTTTTTAGGTGAACCAGCACAGCAGAGAAACAGGCAGAAGGAAAAAGGGAAAGAGCCTTTATTTTTCTTTTCTTTCTGCATCCTCAAAGAAAAGAAATCCCCTTTTTCCTTTTTCCTTCTGCCTGTTTCTCTGCTGCACTGGTTCACCTGAAAAGCCTATCAGTTTCCTGTTCTAGGACTAAATCCTTCCCCAAATTTATAGATAGGTGGTTAATATATTTTTGGTATATAT